CAATGAATATTGTATCATATTTCTGCCTAGCTTCCTCATCTGATGAGCAAAGCCCCTCGACTCTAGTACATGAGATAGATGACACCACCGACAGAGTCTATACTGAGCCAGAGGGTGACTCGTAAGTTGACTTTCAATTGTACAATATAATAACTGTTGGTATCAATTTTTGATGTCACAAGTATAAGGTGTCCACGTACATGACTTAGTTTGGTCTACGGTTCTTCCGCAGCATCCGGTAGTTCCAAACACCCACTCGGGACTCTCTATCACTTATTCGGGGTAAGAAGCGAGAGTTGGCAAAAAATTTAACCTTGCCCAGAAAAGCTACTGCCGGGAAGCTTCATTTAGGACTTAAGACGTGCTTGGTGCTTAATTTGATAATTATAGGTCACCACACATTTGTCTGGAGCCTCTCATGGCCAAAGGGAGCCACAAAATCTTCGTACGTGCGTTACACGAAAATTATTGCGAAACCCTACCCACGCCTTGGTTTAAGACAACCGTTGGCCACCAAGTTTCCGGTGAATGACCGACGAGAATAGTCCATTTTAGAGTAATGAGACTATATTTCACTCATATGAAGTCTCCCATAGCTTACTGTTCCAAACCTTGTATTTTATTGCCAATTATATAAAAATGGTTATGTAAAATCTTGCTGATTGTACATATGATTCCAGTACAGCTGATACTCGAGAACCTTGAGAAATTCATATATGAGATCGTTAAAATTCAGTTGATGCTCGAGAAACTCAGACCAACACTTGACAGTGTTTCCGTCCAAGCTACAAAATCAACAGTGATTGGTAAAGCCCGATAGGAAAAAAATTATCTATATAACCAATAAGGAAGAATAAAAATATGATAAGTAAGCCATGAAATGTTTGACTCAAAATGCTCATGCAACATAGAAAGACCCGTCTCTTGGCTAACTCCTAACGAATCAAGCTCTAATAGTGATTCCCTATCCATTAGTGATAAGATTCACGGTTGATAGTGTACAAATAACCTCAACAACTAGTCCAAATGTTTACTCATGTGAAGACTGTTATAATATGCGCTTAGTGCATCAAACATAAGAAGCGATCTGTCTAGACGACTTAATCGAGCGGTCGAGACATAAGAAATATAAGGCTTAAACTAAGCAATAACATAACAGACGAGTCTTAGACACTATCTAATCAACACTCATACATTTAGTTCAACAAAATTTTTTGATTAGTTAGTCTTTTGGCATCCCAAGGGTAACACGAAGCATATCTTTGCTCGGGATACATATAGGGGGATTTGACATGTTCTCCAATACATTGCTCGAATGCTGGCTGATACGAACGAAAAGGGTCGTGGAGCAAATAAGGAAAAAGAAGGAGTCCCATCATGCCATTTTTATAAGAAACAAAGGCAAAAAAATCAAGTTTAATTATTGAATCATTGATAAGTAGTAAATGTCATATGCTTTTTGCATTAAATTTATTTATTCTTATCACATTGTCACTTTCAAGAAATAAGAGAATGAAAAACTAAATATGTGATATTAAAATGCGTCGTCGTTGATCCTGAGAGGATCTAACGGTATAGAAGGAAAGAGTATGGCGATAGAAGGCTTACCGACAAAAGACCATGAGGCCTAATCCGATTGAGTGAAGCTTGTTAGAAACGGTGGAGCCCGGTCCACTATGCTTGGGCGGTTACTTTGCTTTGGAGAGTCACACCTCTTCACAAATAACCACTCCAGCCTTCCTCTTTTGTGAAGTGAAGCATCTCTTTGCTCCCTCATGTTCGTGATAAAAGCTTCGGATGACTCTCATTGGGTTTAGACGTCACGGTTTGAGTCCTTCGGTTTCCTCAGGATAGAGGAAGGTTTCTCGAGGTAGAGGAAGATAAGTGCAAGCGATAGTTCCTTGCGTAAAAAAGAAGAAGAAGAAGATTGTTCTCTCTAGGCTTCTTCTTGGTGGCTTGTGGTAGAAGAGAAATTGGATTTATTTTTCTTATAATTTTATCTTCTTTGGTGTATCTCGGTGTATAGTTTCTTCGGTGTATCTTGGTGTGGAGAGAGAAGAAAAGAAAGAGAAGAAGAGAGAACAACGAAGTGAGACTGAGAAATTCCTCTTGTAAGTCGAGGTGATCGACTGGTGTAAATTCCTCAAGCAGTAAAATCCTCTACAACTCCATAGACGTAGACAATTTGTCGAACCAAGTAAACCTGTGTGTTTCGCTGTGTTATTATTTTCTGCTGTGAATTACCTCGTTTTATTTTTTGCTTCGTCGATCGTTCTCCTGTTTGATTTATATATATACCACATCAATTTATATATCTAGATCTCGCAACAACAACAACTGATATCAGAGCATGGTTTCAGATCTGAGGAAGAATGATGACTGCAGATGAAGTGAAGTTTCAGGGATCAAGAAGTTTGACGGCACAGATTTTGGTTATTGGAGAATACAGATAGAGGATTATTTTTATGGGAGGAAAATTCATCTTCCGTTATTGGGAAAAAGACCTGAAATCTTGGATGACACTGAATGAAATTTGTTGAATTGACAAGTTCTGGGGGTTATTCGATTGACCCTATCGAGATCTGTTGCACACATTATCGTCAAGGAAAAGATGACTGCATATCTCATAACAGCTTTATCAGGTATGTATGAAAAACCATCGACGAATAACAAGGTGCACATGATGAAGAAGTTATTTAATTTGTTATTTAGAAGTTATTTAATTTGAAGATGGCGGAAGGTGTTTCTGCTGCTCAACACCTGAATATTTTCAATACTATCACAAATCAATTGTCATCTGTGGAAATTGATTTTGATGATGAGATATGCACACTGATCTTGTTGGCTTCATTGCCAGATAGTTGGGAAACCATGAGGATAACAGCAGTTAGCAGTTCTGCAGGTAAATCTAAAATGAAATACAATGATATTCGTGATTTGATTTTGACTGAGGAAGTTCGTAGGAAAGATTCTGGTGATGTCTCAAGTTTGATTTTGACACTGAATGTTGATTTCAGAGGGAGATGACATAATAGGAACTCAAGTATAGGGAGATCAAAATCAAAGTTTATTAAGCAAACAACCTGTTGGAATTGTGACAAGGCTGACCACATAAAAAAGAAATGCAGGAATCCTATGAAGATGGAGAATGATAGCGCAAATGTGGTATCTGAGGAATCACTGGATGCACTATTGTTGGTAGTTCATAGTTTTGTTGAAGACTTGATATTTGATTCAGGTGATTTGAATGTGGTAGGAAATCTAAGGAAATCTCCGGAGGCCACAGTGCAGGGCAGTGATGGAAGTGAAAAGGAAAGTGTGTCCCGACCACCCATTCCTATTGTTCCACAGACAGATGTTGAAAAACTATAGAGCTATGAAGAAATCTTGCAAGATGAAAGCTCGAGCAAGTGAGAGCTAGCAGAACTTCCATCAGGGAAGAATGCATTACACAACAAGTGGGTGTACCAGTTGAAGACTTAGCGTGATGTCAGTAAGAGGTACAAGGCTAGACTTGTTGAAAAAGGCTTTCAACAGAGGCAGGATGTTGCCCATGCACTGAGAGTTGTAAGAACAAACAAGTGTGACCCAGGAAATAGCTTGGAGGTGCAAAGCTATGTAGAGCTTGCTGATACGATGACTGAGAGTGTTACTCTTGAGAAACTAAAGTTGTGTACAATTTTAGTTGATTTTCTCGAGTGAAGACAGATGCTTTGAGTTGTAGAGATGGAGGATTCAAGTTGGAGGATTCAAGGTGGAGGATACATATTGAAGAAAAAGACGACACTGCCAGTGGAAGATATCAATTTGAGGAAGGAGATGTTGTAGCATGTGTACCGGTCTCCAAGTGGGAGAATTGTTAGAAACGGTGGAGCCCGATCCCCTATGCTTGGGCGGTTACTTTGCTTTGGAGAGTCACATCTCTTCACAAATATCCACTCCCGCCTTCCTCTTTTGTCAAGTGAAGCATCTCTTTGCTCTCTTCTGTTCGTGATAAAAGCTTCGGATGACTCTCCTTGGGTTTAGACGTCACAGTTTGAGTTCTTCTTTGGTTTCCTCGGGATAGAGGAAAGTTTTCTTGGGGCAGAGAAAGAGAAGTACAAGCAGTAGTTTCTTACGGCAAAAGGAAGAAGAAGGAAGAAGGAAAAAGAAGAATATTGTTTTCTCTAGGCTTCTTCTTTGTGGCTTGTGGCAGAAGAGAAATTAGGTTTATTTCTCTTATAAGTTTATCTTCTTCGGTGTATCTCGGGTGTATCTCGGTGTTTATCTTCTTCGGTGTATCTCGGTGTAAAGAGAGAAGAAAAGAGAGAGAAGAAGAGAGAGCAACGAAGTGAAAGCTTGTAAGTCGAGGTGATCGTCGAGGTGATCGCTGGTGTAAATTCCTCAAGTAGTAAAATCCTCTGCAACTCCGTGGACGTATGCAATTTGCCGAATCACGTAATCTGTGTGTTCCGCTGTGTTACTATTTTCTGGTGTGAATTATCTCGTTCTATTTTTCGCTTCGTCGATCGTTCTCCTGTTTGATTTATATATATATACCACATCAACTGATATATCTAGATCTCGCAACAACAACAACTGTCATAGTCAAAGTCGGTGAGGCCAAAACTGACCGAACCATGAAACAGACTAAAGATGACCACATGATACGTGAATGAGCCAATCAATCATGAATGAGACAAAAAAACAACCAAGCCCAGAATCACTTAAAGAAGATTCAGTCTCCTAGCATCTCCACTCACCCAAGGGACACCCAAAGGCCCCTCTCTCTTTTTCTTTCTCCTACTTACACTCTAATCTTTAGGTGGGGGCCATTCACAAAAAAATCAGTATTTAGCATTTGGCAATTCCTCAACTCAAATATCAGAAACAACAATTTTCAAGTAATATTACGTTCCAATTTAGACATTCCAGCCAGTATACCAAGATTGGAAAAACACATGTCAGCCAACTCCACGTCACAGTCATATTCATAATACTTTTTATTTAGAAGTGCAAGGTATAAAATATTCGAACCATATTAAAAAAAAGGAAAAAAAAAGCAAAAACAACAAAAACAACAAAAAATCAAACAGAATAGCCAAAATAAAATAAAGAGCGGCTTTAAGCCCAACTGTAGGAAGCCTAACTGTAGGATGAATTCATTAACAGCGAATTCCCGCAACAATGATACTGCAGGTTCAACATTAAATAGGGACACTGTGGAGAACGACAGTTTCGATAGTGAGGCCTGGACCGAACCCGAACAGCACACCCCACTCAAGACCCTCGCCAGTAGTAGCCTTAGCTTCTTTTGCTGATTTTTTCCGCATCTCATCAAGAGCAAAATGCACACAGACACTCGACATATTACCGTACTCTGCAAGCACATGCCTGGAAACCGACAATTTCTCCGGCTTCAACCCCGCCCTCTCCTCCACCTGGTCTAGAATTGCTCGACCGCCGGGATGCGGCACCCAGAAGATTGAGTTCCAATCTGAAATGCCGAATGGGGTGAAAGCCTCTTCCAAGCACTTGCCAACATTCTTAGAAACAATCTGCGGTACATCTCTATGGAGCGTGGCTGTTAGGCCGCCCTCACTTACATGTCCTCCAATAGCACCCGTAGAGTCGGGCAGTAAGACTTGAGATGTCGACACTATGATGAAGCTCGCCCGCTCGTGAGCCGCCTCATTTGGGTCCGCCCCCACTATAACTGCGGAGGCACCATCGGCAAATAAAGCTTGCGTCACAAGGTCATCCTGGTGCTCCTCAGATGGTGCACGAAATACCACCGTAGTGGTCTCCGCGCAAACCACTAGCACTCGTGCACCCTCGCGGCTCTCGGCAAGGCACTTGGCGAGGCGGAGCGTGGTTCCGCCAGCAAAGCATCCTTGTTGATAGAGCATGACACGTTGGACGTTCGGGTTGAGGCTGAGGATTTGGGTTAGTTGGAAGTCAGCACCAGGTAAGTCCATCCCGCTCGTGGTGCAGAAGATGAGGTGCGTTATACTGGACTTAGGCTGCCCCCATTCCTGAATCGCCTTGGTGGCCGCTTCCGCCCCCAGTTTCGGTATCTCTCTTATAGCAACCTCTTGCCTTATGTTCAAAGATTTGTCCATATATTTGCGGAGGCAAGGATTTGCTCTGAGAAGGTCTTCGTTCCACACGAAATGGCGCTTTCTGATTGCTGTCCTATCACCTGAATGAAAATTGAAGATCATGCATTGATTGGTTCTGGCACATTTATGATTTGTAATTTGGTGCAAATTAATAAAATTTAAATGGAGAATTGGGGTGCCATACAAATGCGTTGGAATTTCTTCTTGAGGTCGACCAAGTGCTCGCTGTTGGTGACACGAAAGTAGAAGTCGGGGTAGTGGCATTGTTCAATGAAGTTTTCGGGGTTCGCCGTACCGATGGCCAAAATGGAGGCGAAGCCGTGGGCTCTTGGTGCCTTCTTGATGGATTCAATACTCGGCATGGTGGGAAGTTTTTGTGATTTTGCAAAGTTGGAAGGGGGAGAAGTGGAAACCTAACTAACGGCTATAACTCAACTGATCAGCTTTGGCAGAGTAGCTTGATATTGGCCTGGTTGTTTAGTCGGCTGATGATTGCTTTATATAAGCAATGATAGGAGGAGGAAAGTGGGGTTGCTAGATGGCACGCAACAACACTACGAATTCTGGTATATTCCCATGGGGTCTTGTCGTCTAAGTCTTCGTAATGTTTACTTGGACTTCCACTTCCATAATGGTAATGACTCAGCTGTGTTTTATTTAGACAAATTAATATATACAAAAATAAAAAACGAAAGACTTTGATTAGAGACATATAAATATTCAACTTAAAATTACAATTGAATATATAAAAAAATAAATGAATTAATTAAAATTTAAATTAAAGTTGAATTATTTTTTATCTAAAAACGGATAGAAACTTAATATTATCACCTAAATAAAGCTATGCATAGAGTTAAAAGAAAAATCTAATAGTAAAAAAAAAAAAACTTATTAAGAATATTTATGGTCTTCACGTTCACGTAGAAAATTAATAGAAAGAATTCAATTTATTTCACATGAATAATATCCTATACGCATTTAATCCAACAAAATGTGAAGATTTAACATTAAACCATTTAAATAAAAAGAAAAGACACACTTGCTTAACATTCTGTTTGGGGCGTTGGTTGGTGCGGTTTCATACCACAATTTGCGGTGTTTAATTAAAACAGCGAGGCCACGGTTTGATTAATTTGATGCAAGTTGCGGACCTGCATTTCTCGCTATTGCTTTACGTTCGCTGTCGTCGTTCCTTTCTTTGCTGACCTCCTTTCTTCTCCCGACTCACCTCTTGCCCTAAAAATCTTCTCTCTCAAGGCTCACGATTCCGTGTTTCCGGTTGCTAGCCCTTATTTCTGATTTCGTTTCGGTGGTTTCAAGTGACTGTTGCAGTAAGCTTCCACTCTTCTCTAGTTCTCCTCTCGTTTCTTCGACTCAATTTAGTGGTTATGTACAATCTATGCACATTGCAGTGGTTCCTCTTCTTTGATTTTGGTTGGTTGTTCTGATGAGCTTTCTATTCTCCCTCTCCCCCTCCTCTCTTTTGTTCAACTTAGTTTGGTGGTTCTGCACATAGTGCGCTTTGTGCGGTGGTTCACCTTCTTCCTCTCCCCACTATTATGGTATTCACTACGATATGTACTAGTTGGTTCTTGATTTTGTAATTGGGTTCAATGGTTCAATTATGGTGTTTTTTAATTTTACAACTTGGTGGATTCGACCCTCTGCTTTTTTGGTTTTAGTGGACATCGACTTTTCAGTTTGGTGGTTTTCAATGTGATATGTTTGGTAGATATTTTTGTTTATTTATGCTACATCCTATTGATGGGTTTGGTCATGTGCAATGGTTGTTTTTGTGGTAAGGTTTGCATATGTGAATTGGAATATAGATGGTGGTGGTTGGAAATGCAAGTGAAAAGGCAATAGAAATGATATGCATGATAGGTCATTTTGCTTCTTTTATGGCACACCTTGTTGACTGTTTTTATTATGTGCAATGGTTTGTACGGTGGTGGTGTTTGCATATGTGAATTGAAACATACAAGGTGGTGTTTGGAAATGCAAGTGATGTTGTTGAATGAAATTTGGTTGATATTGTTGCCCGAATTTTGGTTGAGGTGTTTGTCGTGCTGTTGGTGTGTGGATGTGCTAGTGTGTTGAGGTGGTGGTGGTGGTATTGTGGATGTTTTGATGTGTTGAGGTGGTGGTGGTGGTGGTATTGTGGATGTTTTGGTTTGTTGATGCCATGGTGTGTGGATGTGGTGGCAATGGTGTGGTATGGTGATGTGTATGTGGTGTGGTGTGGAGTGGAGGTGTTATGCATGTTGTTGGAGGGGTAGTGGTGATACTATTTTGGCTTTTTAATTTTTATCTGAGCTGCGTCACATAATTTTTATGACAAATATTTATGTTGATTAGTTTTTTTTCATTCTATTAAACACAATGGTTAAGACCGAAGAGGTCATTTGAAGTTTGGAAGAAGAAATGAATTATATTTTGTGATATGCAAACTTAACCGTTTTTCAAACTAGTGCAGATTGTGATTGCCACGATTAGTCTTCATAATTATATTTGGCGGCATCCTTCCAGCAACGACACTGTTTTTTGTATGACAAATGAGGATTATTCACTTGTCCCTGATGAGGAGTACGAATATCGTATTGGACAATTTTTTTACAAGCCGAAAATGATGTGCCTAAGACCTGTACGCAAGATGAGGAAGGTGCAAGCGGGATGCATAATTAAGGGAATTAATTACAGATGCTATAGTCAGAGGGAAATTGGAGGGAGTATTGGTTTTTATTTCTGTTTATTGTAATGGTTGTTGAAAATATTCACTGTTTATTGTATTTGTATTTTATACAAGTCATGTATGTTTCTGTTTCATATGCATTGATATTTATTGTATCAATTTTTTATGTAAGTAAAATGTACTTCTTTTCATTTTCCAGTATTTTTCTCACTTGAATGGTCGATGAAGTAACTATGGGTAATATATATATTCTAAATATTAAAGGTCTTTTTTCTGGGTTTTGGAGGTTTATGATAAGAGATTTGACCTTATGAGTTCTTATGGATGATCTGTATGACATTAGTGGTTGGTGTCACAAGTGAAATACTACTGAAGGCAACCAAGTTTCTTTCTTTTTTTAATGCTATGATTTTTAAGGTTCTTTAGATGACCTTTTTTTAATGATAAGCATCTCTGACACACCCTGACTCAATATTGCGTCGGTTAAAGGAAATCAAGAACCATTTTTTTATATGGTTTGTTGCCTTCTTATAATGACAGATTCGTTGGTTTAAATAATGAGTTTTTTGAGACCTCACAAACATAAAACTTTATTTAATTACTTATATTATTAATTTTACTAGTGTTACATTTAACAGTATGTGTTTTTAAGCCTTAAGAAAAGATGAGCTAAAAAATTTTCAGTATATTCAAATGATTGCGCTGCTACTGCAGACTATAATGTTTTTTTGCTACTGCAGACTATAAGGAGAATCACAAAAAAATATGACTATTTTAGGTGGGAAGATGGGTTGGAAGTTTCCACCGCTGAAAGTGATATGGCGTGGAGAGTTTTCTCGGAGAACAACTTATCTCGTGACATACACCGTTTGCATTTTAAAAATAATATTATTATATTATTAATTATTATTTTAATATTTCTTCTTTTAATTTTGGTAGTCATGCTGCTCACTATTTTAAAAGATGTCTATATTTATTTTATGATGTTCTGCACTGAATATTTGTTTTCAAGTATGAAATATACTGGTATGAACAATTCTGTTAAAAAGAACACAATGTAATGACATACTGATCATTTCTCTAGAAACAATTGCAACAAATTTATTTTCAAAATATAAAAAACAATCAGGTAGTCAGCTTCTGTGTAGGAGCTCCCTGCTTCAATTGTTTCATAGCAGCTTATTAATAAGCTGTAGCTACCCCATACAGACCCTAAGTTCTTAGTTAGTTGGTGGTGACGAGCACTTTGTTCAACAAGATTTTAAATGTAAATTTAAAATTTTTAATTTACATCTTCTTATAGGTTTAATGATTGAGTAAATACGTTAGTTCAAGATTGGCCAAATGGTAATATGTGACTTTTATTTTTATGTTGGAAGAAGTTATTGTTATCATTATTATTTTAAGGCCTGTTAAAAAACAGTTTTTTTCCCCATCAAATTAAAATTTTTTTTCTTATATGAGACATTAATTTGGTCTTTTTGTCCATCCTAAAATATCAATTTGTCCTTCGTTACCATAAATCCTCTCACGTGGGATCTAGGGGAGCTGTTTGCCCTCCCTTCTCATAAATAAATAAATTAATAAATAAATGTTCCACTCCTAATATATATATATATATTTGGGTGTCATATAAGCGAATATTAGAGTTTAGGTATTAAATATGTAAATACATAAGAATTATAGGGTGTGTATTTAACTCTCCCTTTTAAAAAGCTATGTTTATATATATATATATATATATATATACATGTTAGTTTATGATTATCAAAGTTTATTAAGTTTGGTAGTAAAATAAGAATAAAATCTCCAAGATTTGTGTATTACCTTACTTATGTATATAAATATGAATGTTTTATGTGTTAGGCATGTATATATATAATAATTATGTGGCATGCATGTAAATGACCCCATAGAGCAAACATTCCTCACATATTGGGCTCCGCCAGTTTGATAAAATGTTGAAAATTAATTAATTTATTTTTTTGTTTTTATAATATAAAAAAAAACCTCTCCCATGACAAACAATTTTAAGTTCGCTAAATTTTATAAATATTCAGTTCTAAGATGGCTGATGAAAAAATATAGTAAATTTTTTTCAAGGTAAAAAATGGCCTACTATATAAATTATTTTGTGTTATGATAGTTAATGAAAACAATAAAAAATAAAAGTGGATATTCATTTACTTCTAGTTGATCTAATGAATATATATATATATATATATATATATATATATATATATAATTGAAATAGAGGCATGTAGGCGCTATTTTTGTGCTTTTAAAATTAAATTTGAAACCTGTTTTTAATATTAAAAAATTATAAAAAAAGTGCCGTATTTTAAAGTTTTTCTTTGTTTTAATTAGATAGCGGGAATGTGGAGGAAATGAAATAGAATTCAATTTGTAATTTGTAATTATTTTTTCTTTTTCTATCTCCTTCAAAATTTTAGTTTCCAAAAATAAACCTATCAAAAAATATAGAGCCAAGATAAGGTATAATAATTTCAACACATATTGAAAAAGTGGCTTTAATTTGAATTTTATTAAGTAATAAGTTAAAGCTGAGCTAGCTTAATTTGAAACATTAAGTTGTCAGGTAACACGTTAAGGATTTTAAAAATTATTATCAAACTTCTGAAATTTTATCTCTCTCTCTCTCTCTCTCCCCGTATGTATGTATGTATATAGACACACACACGCGCACACACACACACACATATTGTATATCAAACCCACGTCAACATTAATTGCGAGGAGATTCAA